CCCGGTGGAGGCGGCTCCGCGAGTCGGAGATTTTCACGCCCTTCTCCTCCGCCTCGAACTGGGCTGTCTCCTCGTCGCTGGCCTTCTCCGCCATGCGCTTGGCCGGGCTGCCCTTCCTCTGGGCTGGGCCCGAGCGCTTCTCCTCGTCCTCCTCCTCCTCCTCCTCCCAGGCCTCGTGCCCACCGTGGTACTGGCCTGCGGGGTGGTACGTCCGCTCCTCCTCCGAGCTGTCCTCCATGCTGACGTGCCGCTTTCGAACTGGGCTGTCTCCTCGTCGCTGGCCTTCTCCGCCATGCGCTTGGCCGGGCTGCCCTTCCTCTGGGCTGGGCCCGAGCGCTTCTCCTCGTCCTCCTCCTCCTCCTCCTCCCAGGCCTCGTGCCCACCGTGGTACTGGCCTGCGGGGTGGTACGTCCGCTCCTCCTCCGAGCTGTCCTCCATGCTGACGTGCCGCTTGGCCGGTGGCCCCGTTTTCTTACGGGCCCCGGGGCCCCGGGTCTCCCTCGCCTTTGGCGCCGCCCGTCTCGCCTCCTCGTGCCCCCTCTTCCTTTCCTCCTCCTCCTCGCCCTCCGCCAGCTCCTGGGCGCCCCCCGCCCCGTGCGAGACTTTCTCCTCCTTCACCTTCTCCTCAACCCGCTCCGTCTTCTCGTACTCCTCCCGGGCCTCGCCCTCCTGCTCCCGCTCCTCCTGCACCGTCTCGTCCCGCTTCCTCAGCACGTCCCCCGCAGGGCCCTCCTCCCTCTGGGGCCAGGCGCCGCGGCTGGGGGGGTGGGCAGCATTCTCTGGGGGCAGGGAGGGGAACAGTGAGGGTGTGCCCATCACGCAGCAGTCCCAAGGGGGGGAGGGGGCCTGGCCCTCTGGTGTCTGGGTGCCCCAGCTCTGCCCCTGCCCCACACCTGCCCTTCGCGTCTCTGCTCTGAGCCTCAGCTTGGGCGCCAGTGAGAGCAATGTGGGGTCCTATGCCCCGATCCCACCTGGCACCCCCCCTCCAGGGGACTTGCTTCACTCTGGCCCCAAGGTGGGGGAGAGCTGGCTTGGGGGGCACAGGCCTTTCTCCTCTAGGGGGCGCCAGCTGCACTCCAGCCCCAGGGCAGGGACTGGCTGACTTGGGGGTGGGGAAATGAGGCCTTTTTCCTCTAGGGGCACCAGCCCAAGGTGGGGGGCTGGGTGCTCAGGGGGCAGGCAGTGGGACATGGGGCCTGCCCTACAGATCAGAGCCAAGCTGGCAACAGAGCCAGGAACAGGACCCGGTGTCCGGTCTCCCGTTCACGTGGGTAGGGAGGGACGGGCTCTCGGTACCTTCATGTACCAGCTCCCTCAGCTCCTTCAGCAGGTAATGGTGATGCAGCATGGCCAGGACCCTCTCGTCTGGAAGAGACAACAGGTGAACCCCCTCGGACGTGTGCCACGTTGGCGCCCATGTTCAACTCGTGCCATGGGGCCCACGTGCAGGCCACCCGCAAGCAGCTGCCCGGTGCTCTCATAGCTCTGTACGATCGGCTCCTGCGGTGGGGCAGGGTGAACTAAGGTGGGGCTGGGGCTGTACACACGTCGATGCCACGCTGGCCCCTGAGGACAACCGGAGACCCCGTGGCTGGGCAGAGCACCCCCCGCTCTGTGCCCTGGGCCCC